GTAATACTCCATTGTGTGTGTGTGTGTGTGTGTGTGTGTATATATATATATATATACATATATATATATATATATACACACCACATCTTCTTTATCCATTCATCTGTCGATGGACATTTGGGCTCTTTCCATACGTTGGCTGTTGTTGATAGTGCTGCTATAAACATGGGGGTGCATGTGTCCCTTTTAAACAGCACACCTGTATCCCACAATTTTGTATTTTCTTATTTCAGTATTATGTTAGAAACTAGATCTCTAGGCTCCTACACCAGTGCTCTTTTACTATACCTCATTATCTCTGTTTTTACTTGGTTTAAATTTAGTCACTTGATACATAGCAACTACCAAGGTAAAAGGGAACAAAGACAATGAAAATGAAACACATCCATTAGTAAATACAAAATGATGACGTGAGTGGACTGGAAAATCCATAAAGTTCCTCTGCAGTGTCATAAAAAGGCTGGATTTTGTTCAACCAGTGATAGCTGTCCTTTACTTTATACCCTTCTTTGAGGAACTAAGTCTTACCAGAAATACACATAGCATAGCCAGGCTGTGGTAGCCATATGTCACAACTTGGTCTTCTTAATTGACTGAATCAACAGTCTAGAGACTCTTCTCCGGGAGCCACTTTTACCATATGCATAGCACAAAGCAGTTCTAATTGCCTTAGAATTTGTGATGAACATTGCCAGCTGATTTTTGTAAGACTCAGTTTCCTACAATGTAAAAAAAAAAAGTAGGTAGATCACTTTTTAAAGAGCTGTCAAGAAGATACGGAATCAAGATCCTTTGAACTGGACACAGTAATAAATAGGGTGGCTGTGTGAGGGGCCCTTCCCAGTCAGACAATCCTACTGCGAGCACTGAAAATACTCACCAAACAAATCAGAAGGGAAATAAATGCTCAGGCTTCTTCCTAGGAATAGCCTGAGGGTTTTAGCTGTGCTGACCTCACATACACACACACACACACACACACACACACACACACACACACACTCACAACAGCTTATACAGTATTCCTGATTCATCAAAGTGCTTCTGACTCACTCTTCTCAAGTAAGTACAGGGATGCTATTCTTTTAATGTTAGAAAAACAGTTTTACACTCTGTCCTTTGCATTCTATCAGAATAATTTAAAATCCATGACAGAGAATGCCTTCTACAGTATTCCCAGTGGACTGTATAGCATATATATATATATATATAATATATGAATCAAGCACACTTGTTTTAAGTGTTTGGGCTAGTTTGCCATTAAACCCCAAGTACAGACATTGTTGACATGTGTGTGTTGGGGGGGAGGGTGTTCTGTGGACACAATAGAAATGAACAGAGATTGTGATGATGCTCTGGGCTCCACACATGGTGATATCTATCCCTCTTCACTCTTCCTCTCATTGAATGTCCCTTTGTAGCCAGAGCACCTTTATAATAGGAGTTATTAAATAGCCTGAACTTGTATTTTTGCATAATTTATGATAACTTCATGATTATATTTCTTAGATATTCACTCATATGTGGAATTTAAGAAACAAAACAGATGAACATAGGGGAAGGGAAGCAAAAATAAGATAAAAGCAGAGAGGGAGGCAAACCATAAGAGACTCTTAAATACAGAGAACAAACTGAGGGTTGCTGGAGTGCAGGGGATTGGGGGGATGAGCTAAATAGGTGATGGGCATTAAGGAGGACACTTGTTGGGATGAGCACTGGGTGTTTTATGTAAGTGATGAACCACTAAATTCTATTCCTGAAATCATTATTATACTATAGAATAACTAACTTGGATTTAAATTTTAAAAAATGAATAATTTTTTTTAATGTTGGTTTTAATGGATTTAGTGGTTTTAACTTCACTTAGTGTATTGTCAGTATTGGCAAACATTATCAAAGTGGTTCTATAAACCACAAATTTGAAGCTAATCCCTAGACTTCTGGATGTTCTTATCCGAAGCCTATATTAAGATCTGCTTTTCTTTTTTATTTGAATGGTGAGGTTTCTTTGAGGCAGTACAGTTGTGGGAGGGATTCAGCCTCCTTCAGGTCATGGTCAGTCCCCTTCCCCAACTGATTAAACTTGACTCTGCTATAACCCCTGAGCTGGTGTCTGGAGCCTTGGATTCTAGTCCTAATTTTGCTAACAGCCAATTTTATAACTCTGGACAAAACTCATGCTCTTGGCTGGGCTAAGATAATTTCGTTCCTCAAGTGAGAATGGACAAAGAATATCTTAAATATCCTTTCCTAGCTCAAATTTGTATATTTTTTCAAGATTAGTACAAACTGTTCAAGGTAGTTTCAAATATAGGTCAGTACCACTCTCAGAGGACTTTTCTGCTTTAAACAGAAAGAGAAACAGCTTCTTTCGATTCAAGTCCATGTCGTTCGACTCTAGGATGTATTTTGATAGGGACAGGCAATGAATCCATTTCTTAAATAGTTTAATCAGTAAGTTTATATTGAAATCATTGAACAATTGATTGCAGTTACCCATAAGAGTTCTAACACTTATCAGCTGTAATCCTTACTTTTGTTCTCTGAGCCTTCCATATTTCCACCAACAGCAAGGGCATCTACCCAGTAACCCAAGGCAGCCCCCTGGGAGAAACCTCTGCTCTGCCTCTCTTCCTCTTCACACCAGGTCACCCCTCCAGCCCCTTTACCTCATCGTCTCTGTCATTCCCCCATCTCAGGTCTTCACCACCTCTCCTGTGGCCTCATCTCTCTCCTGCCGTCAATATGCATCTCTGTCATCATCAGAGAGATCTCTCACACGATTTAATCCTGTGACTCCCCTCATGAAAAACCTTTGATGCTACTCTTGG